CAAATCAAACAACGAGGACATTCAGTGTTTGTTTGCAACCGACGGCAGTGGCCGTGTTATATTTCGTTGTGTGATGCCTCGGGAAAGAATGCTTGTGATTTTAAGCTGTCTACGTTTTGATAACCTCGAAGACAGAGCGGAAAGAAAAAAAAAATGATCCTGCTGCAGCAATATCACGTATTTTTAATAAATTTATGAACAATTGTCCGAAGCAGTACTGTATGGGCCATTACACCTGTATTGATGAGATGCTCATAGGTTTTAGAGGACGTGTTAAGTTTCGCATGTACATGCCAAATAAACCCAACAAGTATGGTCTGAAGGTCTTGATTCTTACTGATGCCCGTACTCATAAATTTTTCAATGGATATATTTATACTGGCAAAGGCAGTGATGGAAAATTATTAACAGATGAAGAAAGACGTTTGGCTGTACCAACCCAATCCGTGCTAAAACTCATTCAGCCTATTATAAATACCAAATGAAATATAACTGCAGACAATTGGTTCTTCTCTATTGAGCTTGCAAATGAGTTGCGACGAAGAGGAGTAACGTATATAGGTGCGCTTGAGAAGAACAAGGAAAAATTCCTACTGAATTTTCGCTCAACTGGAAGAGAGAAGTAGGGAGTTGTATTTACGGTTTTACTAAACATATTACAATTGTGTCTTATGTTCCAAAGAAAAGCAAGGCTTTACTTTTGGTTTCTACGATGCATCAACAAAAATACACTGATGTTGAAACTGGCAAACCTGAAATGATTGTATTTTATAATGAAACCAAAGAGGGCGTAGATGCCCTGGATAAAAAATGTGCAATTTATAGTTCAAGTAGACGTACAAGGCGTTGGCCTATGGCGGTTTTTTATTCCATCATTGATATCGCAGGAATTAACTCATATATATTACACCAAAGCTATCCAGAAGCAAACAACATACTACGGGCAGAATTTGTGAAGTTGCTCGCCAAACAACTCGTTGATCGACATTTGAATAGAAGAATTGTCAACCAAAGACTTCCAAGAGAATTGTGAATGAACTTAAGTAGAATACTAAACAAACCGATGATTGATGAAAACATGCATCCCGATATGAACCAAAAACGAAAAAGAATTCATGTAATGTTTGTAAGATATCAAAGTGTGATAACTGTAGAGCTAATATTTGTAAAGAATGTGCAAAGTAACTTTTTATCTGAATTCCACAATTGATAAAGTTTGGGTGTTATAGTTTTTCATGTAGGAGGTTTTTTTTGGTTTATTTTGTTTTTTCATATTTTGTATATTCAATATTTAATTTTCCATAAAATTACTATATTTTTAATAAACCGTTTTATTATTTAGGTTATTTTGACATGCAACTTGTAATATGTTTAATAACTAATAATTTGAAAGAATATTATAAAAAAAATGCATACACTAATGTAAAATATATCAAAGAAATTATATTTACCATAATTTGTCATATTTTTGAAAAATGTTGGCAATACCAAATATAAATAACATGGGGTCTACATAACACCACACTAGTAGTTATGTTCCAGAAAGTACACGTCAATGGTAGAAGATTTTAACATCGAAGTGACATTATTCCTGAATCATGCGTGACTCACTATCGAAGCTTAGTTATGCATCATTCTCAGAATTTCAATCACTGTGACTGTCCTAAGCAAATCAAGCCAATGGAATCAAATGATCATATATGATTGTGCATGAATATTAAAATTTTGCATATATGCTTTGCTGAAATTCACAGGTTCAATTAAATATCATCATTATGACAATTACGAGACCGAGATAACTCAAATGAATCGAATAAAACTCAACTAGACAAAGAACTAAAATAAAAAACGAATAACCACACTTTACTGATTCACATAATCTTACAAATTCTTCAATTCAAAGTCCACCGTGAATACCAACAATTTACATAATACGATATCCAGGAGTACTGGGGAGTACTTGAACATTTTTTTCATTTCGTCAATCATAAGAAAAATTCAACTAACAGACAAACAAATAAATTTTCTATAATACTTTACCAGTAGTTGTTGCTGAGACTTCTGAGATATGGCCTTTATCATACTACTGATGATGTCTACCACAGTAACAAACGAAACGTTTGATACTTCAGGTTCCATTTGACTACGGCCTACCAGCACGGATTTGATTTTCTTCAATCGTGACATCCTATATTGTTATGTAATTCAAAATGAACATCATTGAGAAATGTATTTTCCGTCCTCTTGGTATTCTCACTTCTTCTCCATTAATACGTCTCCTGAATGATTCCAATAATGAATTTTGTAGTATAATTTTATATTTTGCCATAACTAAATTCAGTGACTTTAAACCTAGAGATCTATTAGAACATTCAACTGTATTTTCTCATTCATTTCTCCAGTTCAACAATGTATTATACAAATAATCCCTTACTAAAGAGAATCCCATACAGATACCGTATCGACAGGTCGTCCAATATTTCTTGAACGATTTCTAGGTATTCTTCACCAGATGAGTTGTCTGATATAAAATAAAATTCAAGAACTTAATAGCCCAACATGCTGCATCGTAAGTTCAAAAAAAGACAACGATGTTGTTGTCAGCTTTATTAGCAGAGATAACTCCGTGTTCACATCCAAAATTTATCTCTTGATTATCAAGTTGAAGTAGGAATAATAACATTTGTCTTTACCTATTTGACAATAGATGATACTGTATGGATATGGAAAATTATTAGCCGTATTTCAGTTGAAACACATCAACAATAGTAAACAGGGCGACACATTTTGACATATTCACATTTGATGTTACATCCCCTATCGCACACCCAGAGCATGTCACCATTTTTTTTTAATGGATCACCCTATATTATTTCGCATTATCAGTTGCTCCAAATTGAGCAGATTTCAACAAAGTATAAAACATAAATGGTCTGAAGCTTATGGTTCAGGAGCTACTAATTATTGAAGTTGAAAACAAGCCACCCTGAATAACTTTTGAAACAATGATTTGTAGGAAAAATAAAAAAACAGGTCAACAATTATACAGGAGGCCACATTTTTAAAGTTCTAGAGTCAAATATGAAAGCAATAAATCAGAAAAAAAAAACTTTATTAATTCTTGATTCAAAATCTGATGACTAGTCAATTTGAAGTAAAAAATGTTCTATAGTAAATGTTCAAAAACGTCTTCAACAACTTCCATACAATGGTACAAACGAGCTTTCATTGCCGCCCTCACATGGTTGAGAATCTCGGGAGTTATTTCTAAGCAATGCCTCATGATATTCTCTCTCAAATCTTCTAATGTTGTTGATCCTTTCTCATACACTTCAGACTCCGAATGACTCCATAGAAAGAAATCTACAGAAGTTAGATCCGGAGACCTTGGTGGCCATTCTGTAGGACTCCTTCTGCCAATCCAGCGACGAGAAAAATGATTATCCAAAAATTGTCGCACTGGAGCTGCATAATGAGGAGGTGTACCACCCTGCTGAAACAATATTTCGTTTTCGAATAAATTCATATCCTCAATTGCCCTATTCATGCACGGTATTATTCGACGCTCCAACATATCCAAATATTTATCACTAGTCAAATTATCATCGATAAAAGAAGTTCTATGATGTGGTCACTAGAAATTCCTGCCCAAACATTCAGTTTCTGAGGTCATTGATCATTAACTTGACGGTATAAAGTAGGATTCATATCACTCCAATATCGACAATTTTTGCCGATCCACCTCTACATTCAAACTAAATGTACATTCATCCGAAAAACGAATTTTATACAAGAAACTCTGAAACAAGTTGATCCGTTCAGTAAGTCTTTCACAAAACTTGATACGTCTTTCAAAATCATCTTCGTTCAATTCATGAACTAGTCTAATCTTATATGGAGGAAATTTGTACTCATGAAGGATCCTCAAAACATGTGTATGACTGATTCCTGATTCTTGAAATAACTTAATGAGAGATTGCGAATTTTCCATTAGTCCAACGTGACCTTAAACTGCAGTGTAAATGTCGTCATCGTTGACAACTCCTATCGGTTGCAGATCCAGTTTCGATAGATTTGTTCAATAATTCCCAAACGTATTTGTGTCGTACATTTTTTCTGGATGATCACCATTGAACATAAGAGCACTATTTCAATAGCTCTAGCACTATTTCAATTCTGGTAGTACAAACTAACTATTTCAGTCTGTTCTCGAAGTGTATTAACTATTGCTTCTCAATAATTCACAAAAACGGAAACACCAATTGTAACTTCACCTTGTAATAAGAGAATATCGAATTCAGACTACGCAAAATAAGACTTTTTTGAAGTATACTTCACAAAAATACCTATGAAACCTAGGTAACAGATTGTACAGAAGTTCACTCAGGGTGGCTCGTTTTCAACTTGAATAATTTTCAGCTTCCAAACTATGAGCTTCAGACCATAACGTATTCTAATTTGTTGAAGTCTGTTCATTATGGAACATCTGATAATGCAAAACAATTGATTGGAGGTGCGAAATTTTTTCTCCCTGTATACTATTGTTGAGGTGTTTTTTTCATTTTTTCTGAAAATCATTGCTCCAAAAGATATTCACGGTTGCCTGTTTTCAACTCAAATAATTTGTAGCTCCCGAACCATAAGCTTCAGACCATATGTTTTATACTTTGTTGAAATCTGCTTATGTTCTGATAATGCTAAACAATATATGGTGATCCATTTAGAAAAATTGTTGACATGCTCTTGGGGTGCGATAGAGGAAGTAACATCAAATGTGAATATGTCAAAATGTCAACTATGGTTGACGTGTTTTTTCATTTTTCCTGCAAATCATTCAGGGTGGCTCGTTTTGAATGGAATGCACTGTATATTTTATTGCCAACATTTCATTTCAGAATTGAGTTGATTGGGAACTCTCACCATTTTATGGGCTTGAAAATTTATTAGCGACCATTCGATTCACCAAAAAAGTATAATGATATAGATACTCTTTTTTTCAGATTCACCAAAGGTTCACATCCCGCATCAATACTCATCTAGATGAATTATATTCTTATGTGAAGAATAAAGTCTTGAATGAAGTGGGAAAATGTCGACCTCTTTGGGAATTATTCCACTTCGGTCGATTCAATTTTTGCAAACTGGTTATGGATCCCCTTGTAAGTACATAATCTCTTACTCTTTTTGTATCGGAAAACATGTCTCACTCATTTGTTTCCTAAACTTATCATGGGCGTGATAGATGATTTTCAATCTCCCAAATGAACTTCATTCATTCTTCAATATATTCACTCAGAATTTGGAAAACAGATTTAGAATCCAAAAAAATTGCATAAGAATCGATACATAATCTCAATTCTGAATCGAGAACATTGAAACATCAATTATCGAATATTGATGAGCTTGAAACTTCAATACGAGTTCATTGCAGAAATATTCCCGCTAATGTGTTGCGATCTACATTAAACGAATTTTATGAGCGAATGCTTGGATGCATCGGAAGAGAAGGTGGACATACAAAGACGCTTCGATAATTTTTATTGTTAGCACCTGTTGAGTTGTTAAGTTACCTACTGTATTTTTCTGTACTATCACTTATTGGTTCTTTTTTGTTCATGGCTATCCGCGATAGATTTTGACAGTTTATCGATATGAACATTATACTTAGTAAAGTATTTGCCTCGTTAAAAAGAGTTTTTAATTTTATTCTAGAGTTCTGTTAAATATCGTTGCAACAAACTTGAAGTTGACGGTCACCTAAAAAAATACAAATAAAAGTTAATTTCACAAATACACTTAAATTTGATAAAAAATACTTCAAACTGATTTGATTCTGGCTACTTCAAATACATATCAAATCAAAATAGTAAAAATATGTATCATACGGGGGTAATTCAAAATTTTCCGAATGAAAAAAAAATATCGAATAGCAGGCCATGACTCCGTATCTGAACATAACTTTTAATTCTAAGCAACTTTTCTCTTCAACTTTTTTTTTTTGAAATAAGGGTACTTTACTCCTGAACGATCTTTATATTTTTTGGCCTATCCTGTATGGTGTTCGTCATAAAGCTATATCAGGTACACTTGGTATAGTTTTGGAACATGCACCAACTTTTGTCAAGAATAAAATTTTCTAAGAAATCGATAAAAGAAAAATTTCCCATTTGTTGCACTCTTAGTGGACCACACTGTATAGTCGCACGGCCAATAAGAAGTGATGCGCCGCATACGAGAAGCAATATGAAAAAAACGCCCGGTATTGTGAGAAAACGATTCATGGTTTTTGTATTACGATAATGAACCTTATTGATCGTAACTTTATGGCCAAGAAAAACACAGTAATCATGTCTCAGCTTTCGTATTCACCAGATATGTATCCCCTGCGACGTTTTTCTATGGGGGTTGCGCCTCTACAGAACACCCCCACTCCTTCACTTTTGCCTTTATACAGCCGACCAATCAGAAGCTACCGCGCGTAAAGTGGAAAATTAAAATCAATAGATGAAAGAACAGACTTCCGGCCCAAAACCCCATGTATTTTTTTATGAAGCTGAACTTTTTGCAATTTTCACGGCATACATTTGGAACCTTGTGGAATACTTAACTCGAGGTAGGTGTGTTTTGTAGGGTGTCAGAGAGAAACGTGTGATGTAGTCGATGCAAAGGAGGATACATTGCCGCCATGTTTTTTTCTTCAATGATGTATTCTTCCACACCCTGGAGACATCGAAGGATCACACGATGAAACGTTGTAGTTCTGTTGAACTGATATATTTTATATTTTTCCTTGGGATTGTACGTTGAAACGTTGGACTTCCGTTAAACCTACATGTTTTTTTTAATGATGTATTTTGCCACACCTTGTACACAGTGACGTCATGTTTTTTTCTTCAATGATGTTTTAAGCGACAACCTGTATACCCCACTGAATGTCCGTTACATTGCCGCCGTGTTTTTTTTCAATCAGATTTTTCATCATATCTCTTTCGTGCTTCCAATATACAATTTTTATCGAGTCGTATTTCTAACCCTTCATGCTCAATTTTGAAACCGGCTATATCGCCCAAGAAACAACGACAACACCGAACGTGCCATGCTTGCCATGATTGATCACCTCAATACCATCTCTATCTATTTATCTTTGCATCGATTACGTCACAAGTGTCTCTCTGACTCTCACATGCACCTTTCTATGTAACATCAATTTTTCCCCAAACCTATGGATATTTTTTAATGTTCTACATAGAAATCACGTTTCAGGTTATCTAAAATTCAACGGGAATCAAAAAAATGCGGTCAAGTATTGAAAATGATTCAATTTCGGTTCCAACAAAACAACCGCCATAAATATCAACAATTCGCAATTATTTGCAATATCCCACATTGGTGTCGAGGCTAAGGACGAAGCCTACCACGCCGACGACCGTGGTTTGATTCTCATACCGATAAACTTTTGTCAATCGAATTTCCCTCAGCTACCGATGACCACGTGACTGGTACGTGACAGGGGGGCTCAAGGGGTGAGGCGGAGACCCAAGGAGGGCTACGCTCTTTGAATAATTATTCTCTACATCGATTACATCAGAGGTTTCTCTCTTCCACTCTTCGAAACACACTGACATCGAATTGGATGTTCCATAAGGTTCCGATCGTATGTCATGAAAATTGCAAAAAGTTTTGCTCTTTAAAAAATACATGGGACTTTGGGCCAGAAGCCTCTTTGTACATCTACTGATTTGAATTTTTCGCTGTACGCGCGCTAACTTCTGATTGGTCGACTGTATGACGGCAAAAGTCGAAGAGACTTCTCTGAAAGTCTTAGGCCCAATGGGATTGTTTCATGATTTTTAGTTTATAGTTCAGTTGATCAAAATTTCCCATAGTTTTCCCGTAATTAATTAATAAAAATCGAATGTGTTAGGGCGGTGACGTAACGGGCGTATTCCCGCTTCTTGTTCGATTGACCAATAGAAACAATAGAAATAGTTAACATTGCCAAATCGTAAAATTTAGGAAGCCTATAATTATCAATTCAATTATGGAAGTGTATATGAACCCGTTAACGTTTCAATTAATGAAAAATTCTCCAGATAGCATAAAACGTTCACGATAAATCATGTTTGGAAATAAATTATATATCTAAAGTCGGTACACAAAGTCGATAGATCACAAAATATTTACCCAAACTATGATTTTATGGATTGTTTATTAATATACAGTTATGAAACTCAAAAAATATAGCAAACTGGATCAAAGAATCATTTCAAATATTCAATTTATTCTACAATCCTCAATCTGTACAACTGCAATTTATTATAAAAAAAACGATTCCTCCATACATACCTCTTTCTAATATTGCTGTTCGGACTGGTCAGTCCTACTGTGATTTTGTCTGATTGAAAGTCAAATAAATCAGGAATCAAACTTTAACTATTTTCAATCTTCAATTTCAAAATTACATTAACAAGTCAATGTCATAACTAAATTTTCTTGTTTTTTTTGTAAACATAAAAACAAGTGATAAATACTGATTAATTCAATTGAAATACATGGTGATTCTAACAGCAACATTCTCCCTCCCGTGATGAAATCACTACAGCATTGAATTCGTTCTTCAAACATTTGTATCGTTTTTTCCAATTAATTTGCATATTTTGGAAACAGGTCGTTAATAGATTCCTGTTCAGGTTTTCACTTCGACAACTCGAATTTTTCCGTCCTTCCCTTCATGAACCTTCTGTATTTTTCGGATGGGCCGCATATTTCTAGAAAGTGTGTCGTCCACATCAACTACAATGTCATCCAGGGAAATATTTTCTTTCTTAGAGTACCATTTCGTATTTTTGTTCAAGTTGACCAAATATTCTTTTTGCCATCGCCTCCAAAACATATCCGCTAGCGCTTGGGTGACTCTCCAATGTTTTCTGCAGTTTGCGTCGCTTATCTCAAATTCTCCTGTGGGTGGTGCAGATCCATCAGAACATTGAAGTAGGAAATGATTGGGGGTTAGGCTCTCAGGATACAGGGCATCGTTCGAAATGTAAGTCAGTGGTCTGCTGTTCACCATGTTCCCAGCTTCAGCAATGAGTGTTTGAAGTACCTCTTCTTTGGGATGTCTCTCTTTTAATGTAACTTTCATCACATTTTTGACCGATTTTACAAGTCTTTCCCAACTTCCGCCCATGTGAGGTGAATATGGCGGTAAAAATTTCCACGTCATTGATTTAAACCATAAAAATTCCGAAATTTTTGTTGAGTCGAAGTTTTTTATTGCTTCTATCAATTCTCGATCAGCATAACGTAGATTGGTGCCATTGTCGGAATGTATTTCTCTTGGATATCCCCGTCGACTAATGAATCTTCTGATGGCCATGATGGCACTATCAGTATCGAGCGAATGTGCAATTTCCAAGTGGACTGCTCGAATACTCATGCAGGTGAAAAGCACGATATATCGTTTTTCAGTTCTCCTTCCAACAGTTACTAACTACCATTGGACCAAAATAGTCCATCCCTGTAATAGTGAAGGGTCTTGTGAAACTTTGTAGTCTGCTTTCAGGTAACTGCCCCATTTCAGGTACTTGAGGTTGGACTCTCATTTTCTTGCAGAAGAAACATTCGATTTTGCATTTGTGAACTGCACTCAAAATCCAAAACTTCTGGTGGAGTTCATTCATAATTAGTACTTGCCCTTGGTGGTTAAAGTTAATATGATAGTGCTCAATTAGCAATTTCGTGAAACGATGTATTTGATCAAGTATTGCTGGATGTTTCTGGAAATAGGTGAGATCTTTGGCTTGCTCAAGTCGTCCTCCTATCCTTAGTATTCCTTTATCATCAAGTAATGGCGTCAGGGTATATATACGGCTTGATTTACTGATAGTCCTTTTGTTTTGTATATCTGCAATTTCTTGATGGAAACATTCGTTCTGTACATATTTTATATATATTTCTTCGGCTTTTTCCACTTTTGAACACTCCAAATTTGTACTTACTTTCCTTTTTCTGCAGTTGTTGATAAATCGAAGCATCCATGCAGTGGCTCTAATTAGTCGTCGGTATTTGGAAAATCTGTCTAGGCTGGGCAAATAACTGTGTGTAATTGTTGTTGTCAGTATAGTTTCTCTTTTCATTTCCAATTCCATTTCTTCTAGGG